AAATTGTTTACTCCAAAACTAAGAACGTGCACATGAAATTCTTTAAAAGAATTAAAGGTTCGAACTAACCATCATTCATATTGGTCACTTTAGCAATTTTTTTTACAATTCCGTCAAGTTTCATTTTAGTTTTCTCCATATCTGAACCTAAGTCATCGAGCATTCTGAAAAATTACACAGATTGATGAGTTGTGTAAAATAATGAACGAGAATTATGCAATTATAAATCAAAATAATAATACAATAAGGCAAGCTAAGTAATGCGCTACCTAAAAACAATTTAGCACGATTGAAAAAAGTGAATATTAGAACTTTTCCACGAAATTTTAACTTCTAAAGTATTGCAAAGAAGTAAATAGATGAAAGCAGAAGAAATTGATAACTTGAGTAGATAATAAGTAATAAAATTGTGTTGAAAGTTTGTGCAAAATCTCTAAGTTTTTTTAACAATAAAATTCATTCCTTTGTAATGAACAATAACCGAAAATTTTGAAAAGGCCTACATAGATTGTTCCTCAAGCTCTGTTCCGATTCGACTACTCATATTTTTTAGCAAGTGAACTGAATTACCAACTTTTTCCAAATCTTTGTCTTGTTCGTTTAATACCATCTACAATTTTGTTTACAAAAAATTAACGCTCATTAAGAAAAGCAAAAATTAAACCACTGCAAAATATGTAACAAGGCATGTAGAATTTGCTAAAATAGCATTCATTCTTGTAAGAAATGCAACAATAATTCAAAAGTCAAACAAACTTGTTGCTTCTGTAAAGTTTCTGTAAAAAATTGCGATGGAGAAGAAGGAACATTGTCCAATCGCGTATATCGATAATCGCTGCTATGGAAGCTCATCTATAACGAAACAAATTGAATATAGCTTGATACTAATTTTGTAAATAAATTTTGTAACATCAGAAAAAGTAAATTTTAGGATAATTCACATAATTTGGACAGATGAATGACTATTTATAAATTTGATACAAATTTGCCTAAAGAAGAAAATGATTTTGGATTTGTCTAGCTAATTAAAAATTCTAAAAAAAATAAAACTGTAGTTGGAAATTAATAAAGTTGTCATAACGATTTGTATACTATCAATTATCAATTACAATCTTCCAAAAAATTATGTACAACATTTTCACTTACTTTGAATTCTAAACCAATCCCAAAATATGCTTGAATATTTTCTTCTTTATAGAACCTCGACGTATACTAGCCAACTGCCAAACATAAAACGTGAGTCCAATTTCGAGACAGTCATTCGCTTAATTCCCATTTTATTAGCAACTATTTGCCATAGTTCCGAAAACTTTCCAAATAATTCATAATTAATTAATTATCAATTAAGAAGACTACAACATCTACAAGACATCAAAACAGTGATGGCAACTCACATTAAAGAGAATTATGATGGAAATATGTTAAATAAGAGTGCTGCTGAATGAAGAACTAGCAACCATGTTTTGTTAACTGAAATTTAACAAAAAAAATAATAATCCACCGATTACAAATTCGATCGACAATATTAGTAAAAAGCACAAATTCAGCTTATTACGAAAAAAGATATTTCTCAATCATGACACTAATTGCTCTTAGAATTCCAAATTGATACTTACTACAGGAATTGATAGCTTCTGCAGGAACACTCAATAATACATCTACGACAATAAGTGAAACGAAATTGACATTTGTTGAATAAACCTGAAAGTATGTAATACCAGACATAATATCAAAACCCCAAAAAAGGTAGATCAATAAGTGTTGAAATATATTGTAACTTAATGATACATTGAAAAATAAAGCTTAAGAGTACAACTCCATAACACGCATCACTTCACACAGATCACGTTAGCGGTTTTTTTTTTTTCAAAAAGTTCGCATTCTTCAACAATGAATTTTTCCAAAACGAGATTTCGTCACTGAGTTGGAATTGATTTCAATTCAAGTGAAAATATAAATCAAGGACTAAAGTCAGTGAATAAATGACGAGCATCGAAATGCGAGAAAAGCAAATTAAATTAAATACACAGCGTGAAATTATGCGTAATACCTGATGCAACCCGTAAATTCCATAAAGCACATAAATACTTTTTGTAAAACGCATGATAAAATAAGTGAAACTTAATATCTGCTCAATTCAACAAAACATCTTCACGTTCGTATTACGTTTGTAATACAAACGTGATAATAGAGCTCTCAGGATACAGAGTTTAACGAAATTAATGTCTAGACCATGAATGAAAAAGCTATCTCATGCATGTAATAATTCAATAATGGTTATTCTGTATGAAACTCAAACTAATATTATGATTAAAAAGCAGAAGGCAAATAACTATTCAATTCAAAATTTTGATTTAAATATTTGTTTTCCATTTATATGTTCGATAGTTAGTTATTTGGCGGGTTTATTTTAATTTCAAAAGTAATAACTTTGAATTACTTTTGAAATTAAAATGAATAAAATCAAAAAAGAAGACAAAGACTTGTCAATATTATAAATTTATTATTAGTTTAACTTTCGTAGTGAAAATTATTATTATTATTATTGATTTGTATTACTATTATTATTGGTAATATCATTATGATAATAATAATAACAAATACAAACAATAATAATATTAATATTATAACATCGACAATAGTAATGTTGTAATTTTTTTCGCATCAATAAAGAGACGAATAAATAGATTTGCATATTAAATGAAGATCGTTGTTGTACAGTTGTCGAATGTGAGCTATTCAAATATTATAATTAGTGTCGGCAATAGTAATGTTGTAATACTTACGACAATAATCATTATTATAATCATAACAATTATTGCCATTAATAATATTAATAATATTAATAGTGATATTAGTAATAAGTCTAAATTCAATCATAATTTCAGCACTTAGTACATTGCTATGGCAACATTAACATGGCTGAAGTGCTCAATTTTCTGCTATATGTGAAATATGTTTCATAGCTCATACTTTATATAAGTTTACTTGTTTTTACTTTGTGATTTTCAAAAGATACTTCAAAAAATTCATTTAAACAGTAAATATATATTATCATCAGCTAATACAGTAATTTACCATACATAACTATTTTTGTAATATGAAGATTCGTAATTTTTTAGCCAAACTTCAGCATTCAATAATAAGCAAAAAATTCATTTACTTCCCGCGCATTACCATTATTCTATTTTTTCTAAGACAAATTAATTTTTGCATTTATTTCCATAACATTTTGCTTTCGTACTTTGCTTGAATAATTAATATGCAAACAGATATAATTGACAATGCTTAAAGCTTTGCAAATAGCTTCTTGCCTAATTATACCATCACAAACTAATAGTGATGACATTAGTAATGGCAGTATTATTATGATATTAATGCTGATAATAATATAAATTTTATCGTAAGTATTGATTGATATTACGATAATTATATCGTGCTTTTAATCAATAATTTTGAAATATTTATCAGTCTTATGCATATTCTGAAAAAACACTTTTATTTTAAATTTTTTTTAGATAAAAAATGACGGCAACTTTAAACGTAATTCTGGATGCTCTAAATAGTGAACCATTCAAAATGAATTTGAATTCAATCAGTTTTGATTTGATTTCAAATGAGCAAATGCTGCAAATTCTAAGTGATGTGATACTTTGGATTGAAAATTCAAGCGTAATTGATATTCGAGAAGAAGGAGCCGACGAAACTGCGCTTAGAATATTTAATTCTCTTCGAGTACTCAATTATCAACCACCGACTGATATTGAAGCGCTGTAAAATTCAAATTTAAATTAATAATCATTTTTAAGTATTTTAAAATAATTTAAAAAATATTTTGACTATATTATGAGCTAACTTCTCGTAAAATTTCTACAAATTAATAATTAAATCTTTTTTTTTCAAAATATGTAAAGAAAAAATAATCATTTTGATAGTTTATTTTATTTCATATAATAATAACAATTTTTAATTAATATTTTTAGTATAATAAGTATATGTAATTAATACAAGCAGGCAGGAATGGCGATGTGGCATTGTGGAAGGAGAAAAATCAACTATTTATCCAATACTGGAATGGATTTTTCAAAATGTGAACATTGTAAAAGAGCGGGCTTATTTGGCAAAATACTTGACTAAGATTGATGTGCCAGGTTATAATACATTATATATTTTTCATTTATTTACGATATTTCATACCGTACTTTCGTGATGAATATTTGAAAATATCTTAAATATGCCTAATTATTTTCAAATTTAATTTTAATGATCATCTTGATTGCTGCTAAAATATTTCAACTATAATTCTGAGCTAATTTTTCATAATGATTTGGAGAGCAGAAAGTTTTAACTTTCAAGTTACTACATAGAGTTAACAAAGCTAAAATTTGATGTTTAATGGAAGTCATGCTTTTTAAAACCCATAAACTAAATACAAGACAAATACTTTTGAAAATAATTTTATGCTATGCAATTTGACATTATTTCAAATTTCATTCAGGTGCATTTCAAGATTCAGAAGTGGTTGAGTTTTCAAATCAAGTTTCAAGTATGATGGAAGAGTTTAAAGTATATTATTTATTTCAACTTAAATTAGTAAGCTCAAAAGTTATGGATATGATATTGATTAGCTTTAATTTTAGCAGTTTACCAAAAATAAAAATATAAATTTATGATAAAATTCAGAAAAAATTTATTATAATGAAATGTTTTCAAATACTAAGATGACGGGATGATTTTAAAAATTTTTGATTAAAATATGTAAAGTAAAAAATAATAGATAACATTTTATAGAGAGTTCATTGGCAAGTTGTAGAAGTTCGAAAAGATTCATTGCTTATGGAGGATATACGAAATGATTTGAAAGCGATGAAAGCTGAAAAAGAACAACTGAAAAAAAGAATAGATAAACTTGAACGTAAACTTGGAAATATTGCAAATATTGAATATTTTCTTCAGTTAGCTGAAAAATGTCGGTTACAAAGTGAACAAGTTGAGAAGATTGGACATCTTCAACAAGAACAACTAAATACAGTATTACTTATTATTGTATCACTTATACATTACAATTATAGTTACAGAATGACAAAAAATATACCACAATAAATCATAAATTTTTGCTTGAATTTTCAAAATAAAACAGGTTTGCTAGTGAACAAGGTTTAAGCATGTAAATAAATTGAAGTTGGAAACAAACAGTGGACACTTTGTTCATAAACAATTTTAAACTACAAAAGTTAATTTATATACACATTTAAGCTCTAAAAAACTGATTGAAATTAAGTTTTAAATGATTTAGATAATTAAAATTAAGTCTTACAGGATATTAAATTAAGCTTTAAATGATATTTAGAAACTAACTGAAATTAAGCTTTTAATAATTCATTCATTATTAGATTTTTAGGGCAAAAAGCTCCACATTTAACTTAAAACAATTTATTCGTTTGAGCAATTTTCATAGCTAATAAATATTGCATAAATTAATAAAAAATGTGAAAAATGTACAGAATTTCGCTTTAAATTGCATAATGCATAAATAAACAAAATTTAAAAGTTTAGAATTGCAGAAAAAAAGGCAAATTGAAGCAGATCAAAAACAAAGTATAATTACTTTATTTAGCTACTTTTTCAGATTATTTACGATGAACAGAAATTACAACGACTGAATGCTTCTTTGAGAGAACTTAAAAAAATAGGTGAAAACATTGACCCAACAGATAAAATAAAAGCATTAAAGGTTAGCTATTTGTTGGCTTATAATTAGTCTGTAAACATGATTTAACAAGGATAATAGAAAATAATTTCTGAATTCAAAATATACGTATTCTAAAGCTTCTCCCATACAGGAGGGTTAATACCTAAATGTGAATTAAATTCGTGGAAGCTGACACTAATAATAAAACCAATAATAAAAGTATAATAATGATAAAAGTGATAATAATAATTATTATAATTATAAGCATAACTAGAAGAATAGCAATACGATGACAATATTTATGCTAGAATACTAAAAAGATAATTCATAATATATCTTAAGAATAATTATTTGATATCTTGACTACTTGAAAAAAATAGCGTGAATTCAAATTGAATTGAAAGTAATTAAAGGAAGAAATAGAAACAAATCGTTACGTTGTTGAAGAGAAGCTACCAAAAGAGATTCATGCAAAAGAGATGATTGTAGAAAATTTGAAAAAAACGGTTGAAGTCTCAGCTCTGAACGAAAATGATGTCGCTGAATTGCGTGAAAAAGTAATTAATTTTTGTCAATTCATTGAAAAACGTTAACAACATGAAGTAGTAATGTATTGACGCAAGCATTCAGATTGAAAGATTAAATGAAGAAATCATTGAGCTAGTGAAGAAACGTGATTATAAAGACGAGAAGACAGATAAGTTATCAATATATCGCCATCAAGCTTCTGCTATCCAAAGAAAAAAAGCTATATTAGTGGAAAAACTGCAAGAAGCTCGGTAGAATTCTTTCAGTGATTTCTTGTAATATCCAAAACATCTCTTCTTTGTAGTACTCC